GACAAAACCTGAATTTTTGTAAGTCTTTGTCTTTTTTCTCTATTGTACACTGTTTATACTCTTAACCGTGTTTATTTAATAGCAGGTTTTTTAAGCTAGCTATTCAAAAAGTTACATTATTTTATTTTGGGTGGCCCATGAAGTGTGATTGTCCACACAGGCAGATTCAGATTCATGTCCCCTGTGCCACATCCATGGATGATATCTTGGTCTGCTGTAGACCTGATGCAACACTTGCAAGATGCGGGAATGATGATAGTGATGTCGGCTACAAAACATCTGTCTCGAAGTACAACTTTATTTGATGACTTCACACTAGCAGTCTTTAAATTTAATTTCCTCTGTCATCAGGCTGCCATTCAATAATCCTTTTGAACCAAGAACTCCATAAGTTTAAGCACTACATAAAACCTCCTTATCAATATATTCTAGCCATGCTAAAGCAATCACTATGCCTTCTTGGAGAAAATTAAGATTATTTTGTCTTCAAAGACTTTTATCCAGACATCTTAAACTCCTGTTATAAACATTTCATAACTAAGCAATAACATTTGATTTTGTCAAGTATGAATTTAAGATTAAGTGTTTATCCCAAGCAAAGCACAGATAAATTGTACTAGATTCCTATTTTGTTTCTACTAGAAAATGCATTTCTAAACAAGAAGAGTGCAGTGCCTTAACATAAAATTTGTTTTTTCCTTAACATTCCGAGTCACATAATACTGTTCAGTGTTATTCTCCAAAGGGATTTTTTTCCCTGTTGTGAAATCACCTGCCTGAGGTGGAGTGTTATCACACACAAAACTTATGCTCCTTCTTGCATGTTTTACCCAGGCAATCTTGTAAAAAAAAATTCAACCTGTGCAAATTTTACATGTATCAAATGAGAATATCCCTTTTAGGAGTTCATTTCTGTATCATGTATGCATGGAATTTTGATAGATATTAAAAATAAACAGTCAATTGAATAACGATATATTTAAATTGTTGTAATACACTGAAAGAAAAATTATTGCTGCATTATTAAAAATGAGAATTAATGGCTTATGACTTACATAATTTTCCTGTCCTTATGACTTACATAATTTTCCTGTCCTAAGCTCTTGGCACATAACCACTTACATTCATAGATTACTATTGTATGTTTTTAATGAAATAGTTTCAGAAACACTGATATTAATTCCTATTAAAACCCCTAGTCAATTAAACTGTTACTATTCTTGGGAGTCAACAAGTTCCATGATTATAGGAGTGTGGGCAGAGGGAATAAATACTATAGTTAAGGTCCTCCCAGTGAGATTGCCGTGTAAAAGGAGCTTAGAGATCTTACCAGTTGTGCGTAGTTGTGCTCCCTTGTTCCTGCAGGGAAAAGGTTCTGATTAAAGTGCTAATCTTTGAAGAAATAGGTCATCTGCAGGATTCATAAGGTCTAAGGCATGGATGGTCATCCAGACCAAATGTTTAAACTGAGTACAGGAGGAAAATTAAAGCAAGTATGATCTCTGGAGCCCATCAAATCCAGACAAACCACTTCTAAATGGTATTCTGAGGTTTCCTCAAAATAGTAGTAATCTCGCAGAATAGTTTCCCCATGTAGTCAAGTGACTTGAGAGTTGTGTTATTTATTTATTAATATGTTATTACAATATACTTATAATATATACTTATAATTACAATATACTTATATACTTATAATATACTGTTATATCATCTTGTTATCTTCTAATATGTATTGCATGTTATAAATACTGTTATAAATAATAGTATTTATTATTGTGCTCTTTAATTTTGTTTGGATCTAGGTTATTTATATCATTTTTTTTTCAGCCTTCTAAAAGGAAAACATTGATTCCAAGTTATTTAGCCAGGTCTCCTTGAGAAATGGAGAGAAACTTGCATCCCTAGACTTCACCTATCTTACAGGTCTCTTCCAGGTACCTTTAGTAGGCAACTCATTCAGTCATATTTAGCTCTAGTGACAGTAGGGTCAGTGCAAAAAATCAGCTTCATCTAGAAAGCCGGATTTTAGATGGCTGAGGTTATACATAATGAATCCTTTCCTGATTTGAACCACAGATTTTTCTTCTCCTCCCCCCGTAGTACTAACTTGTGGAAGTATATAATGCGAGGTTGAGAATGAGGATGCTGTGTTTGAAAACATTTCATATTTATTTGACAGTATTCATGTAGGGGGGTTGTTGTTTTTTAAAGAAAGATCACAAATTATCATCAACCTGTCAAAAGAATACAGAAGAGCTGTATTTTCAACTGAGAAAAGGTAATAAAGTTACCATGCCGGAAACAATACATTGATTTGCAGATCTCTGTTTTTATTAACACTTCTGTGTACAGACCCACACCAACTGCAGGGAGCCACCCTGAACCTATACAAAAGCATAATAGTGTTGCAGTGTCTAGATACTTGTCTTTTAAGTGGATACACTTACGATTAGTCGAATGGTTTCTTAACTAAGAAGTTTCTTACCACTAGAGGGCTCAAAATTGCTATGTGATTTTATGTATGAATGCCTGCATAAACATATATATACATGTATACATACACAAGCAATGTATGGTATGTGTACATCATTCATGTGCACGTTTTGTGTGTACACATGTACAAACGCACATATATGCACATACATATATACACACTTGTATTTTAATAGGTATTTTTTATTATTTTGAAGGCTTTGCACATTTAAATGCATTTCAAATCTTTACAGAATTTTTAATATAACTTCACAATTCACTGTATAAGGATGAAATGTTTCTTTAATTTCAAAAAATAATTACAATTTTTAACTTTGTTCTCAGGTGGTTGAATTTACACTGAATGTTCAGTTTATCAAATTGAATAGTGAAAACAATCACAACAAAATATAGTTCAGACTTCCATGACCAATGCGTGCTTTCACCTTATGTTTTATTGAGCTATCTAGACAACACTGAATAACATGGGCATAGTTCATTTTTTTCATAAATGACTTTCCACAGAATGTAATACAGTGTAGCAGAATCTATTGCGCCAAGCATTTTTGTTTGATTATATGACATATTCCCCTGGGAAATCTTAGAGCCCCTAAATAAATAAAATGTTCCTAGAAAGCTGACTGGTTTCTTTCACTAATGTGACAACTGTAATGAAGAGAGAAATGGCTTTCAACCATTTTTAAGTAATGCATAATCTTTGGAGATAGTGCAACCCAGTTCCTCCATAGTATAATGATGTAATAATGAATAATTTACCCTTGCAGTCCAAAAGATAATTAACATTATATTTTCAGTCAGACTTGACATATACAAAAGTTTGAGGTGTCAATGCTTTCTAAATGTCAGCAAAGTTGCATTCATCTAAGAAAACTGCTCAAGAAACCAATATTTCAAGAACAATGAAGTTTCAGCTTATCATAATGTATGTTGTTGTAGAAATAGGAACACAGACACCAAAATGTTTTCAGACATTTGTTGCTTTAAATAATAATAAAATTTGAATAGAGTTTCTTCGGAATTTTTTCCTGTATAGAAAATTGTGGAAAAGCACAAGAAAACAGAAGATACTGTTGTTGCAGCGCTTCAGTGTTTCGATTGTTTGCGAAAAATTGTGTTGAATACGATCGTGTATATGAACAAAGACTACTCAAGTGAATAAGCATTTGTATAATTGAGTCAAATATTTTAGACTTTGATAAAGAATACTATCTTTGAGTTTCACTGGACTACATGTGATTACTGCCTACATTATCACTAGTAGAGTTAGATACTAACAATTTAATAAAGCTTTAGCATATTCATTTTCTGGCATCATCATCTTATGTGTGTTTTCTTAAATTGTTAAAAGTCCTATCGGATGTTTCATCTTCATAAAATGGTAAATTCTTCAAAAATCACAATAAAATAATGGGGAGGGGGGAGGAGTAGGGGGTGTTAGAGTCAATAGTAAAGTAGTTTGGAAATACAATGCCATTGCCATGTACGCTTATCTAAACTTTAAAAGTACAGCTTATTATAGTCCCATTTTTGTTAACACATTTACTTTAAAATGAAATATATGTGCAACTATGTCAAGGTATTTGTCCCAGTTCCGGCAGGGATGGGGTTAATTTCCCCCAGGAGCCGGCAGGGGGCGGGTATTCCATCCCACGTGACCCATCCCGGGCTATAAGAGGCGGTAGCCGGGGCAAAGGGAGCAGTTGCCACTTGGGTGTAGGCTGTGGTTGTGAGGTACAGGTCAGTGTGCTTTGTGGCGGTACTGTAATCATGTTTTCATCTTTCCTTTTGCTGTTCTGTTAAATTGCATTATTTTAACCCCTGATGATTTTTTTTTTCCATGTCTGTGGGAGTTGCGTGAGCGGCTGCGTGCTTCTTTGTCGCTGGCTGAGGCCAAACCACGACAATATTTTTGCTTAAAAAATTTCAACTTTTGCATGTTTTGCTTTAAAAATTTAGCTTTACTGATTGTACATGATGTTAAATTGGAATGTAAATGTTCTAATAAAAACCCCATATTTTGTGTACTTTTTCTTATGTGTAATGCATTCTTAATCTACCAGTATGTTATTTGAACCTGGAAAACTATGTGGCACATTAGATGGCAGATATTAAAAGTGGTTGTCTTACTGATAGACAGTGTTGGTTGGCATATTCATCACATTGCCTTTGGTTCCAGGAATAAATCATCCTGAAATGGATAAAGTAGACTGGAATGTATTTGAATTACTTTTACTAGACCCAAATTGTAAGTTTTATGAATTTAAAACACATTTCCATAAGTGGAAGATCCATTTCCTTAACCACAGCCTACTGAATTCAATGAAATTATGCCAGGAGTGAGGTTCTATCCAGATGGAGTTAGTTGTTCCATTAGGATCGTAAGAAAAAACATCCTTATTGTATCACACCACTGTAAAGATTAGCCCTGGTGATTTCACATTTATATTATTATCCTCAATGCGAGAAGAACATAAAACTATTAGAGTGTCCAGAAGAGAGCGACCAAGATGGCGAAAGGTCTTGAGGGGAAGACTTATGAGGAATGGCTGAGATCACTTGGTTTGTTCAGCTTGGAGAAGACAAGGCTGAAGGGGGAACCTCATCACAGTCTACAACTTTCTCAAGAGGAGCAGTGGAGGGGGAGATGCTGATCTCCTTTCTCTGGTGGCTAGCAACAGGACATGAGGAAACGGAATGAAGCTGCTGTCAGACTGAACGTTAGGAAAAGGTTCTTCATTGAGAGGGTGGTCGGTCACCAGAACAGGATCTCCAGTGAAGTGGTCATGGCACCAAGACTGTCAGAGTTCGAGAAGTGTCTGGACAACACTCTTAGTCACAGGGTTTAGTTTTAGGTAGTCCTGTGAGGAGCAGGGAGTTGGACTCGATTATCCTTATGGGTCCCTTCCAACTCAGGATATTCTATGATTCTATTTTTGTAATCCTCCCATGCAGGTTTCTCGCTCTTGAAAGAAATAAGACTTAACTGACCACATTAGCTACATCTGCAATTTTCTTGATAGTTGATACATCATCACTACCTTATGTCTCAGCATCCTTTGTAGAGGAAAAGCCAATCTGAGTTAATGTTCTATAAATATTTATTGATAACAATCATAACATGAAAATAGCAATGAATTTCACAAAGATCTTACATGCCACAAGAGTTGTACTGGGTACAAGAAAATGCAACTATGACTTTTCCTATAAGAGTGAAGATCAGAACTCTTAACTAAACAGGTGATATTTTTACCACCTTCAAATGAAGTAAGAAGTAATATTATATCGCCAGTATTTTACCCTACTTTTTCCAGTAGTTATGCTAATTCAGTGTATTTTACAATTAACTCTTGTAACTTTGCAGCTGCAGGGATCACAGCCGAATAGGTTGTTTGTAATTAATTTTACCTATAGGCCTATATCTGTGCATAGAGAAACCTCCAGAAAAGATCTTAAAAAAATACATAATTCAATGCATAGAATGGAAAAACAAAGTAATATTACACTGCCTTAATAAGTTTCAAAGTCTGCTTGAGTATTTATTGTTCTTTCAATGCATATGTGTATGTCAAGGATTTTCTCTTCTTTATAATCACGTCAAAAAAAAAAAAAAATGTGCTGTGCTATATCCTTGTATTTGCTTTACCCGATTTATGGGAACTTTGTTTCTATGGCTATTGAATTTCACCAGAACTGAATATGTCTCATGATTTGTAGAAAATAAATGCTGTCCAACTCATTAAATCTAGATGAGGTGAATATATTCTAATTCTATTTTGTAGTGTATTATTGAGGAAGCATTTTCTCCATCAAGCTTTAGGCATTTTATTAGCTAAAATAGTCAGTCTCCATATGATCTCTCTCTCACCAGTGGAGAAAGTTCTCATTGTTATTGCCTTTGCAATAGAGAGCTCCTTAATGTGGTTTATTTCACATCTCATTTGATATAAACAAATATGGGAGAGGCAAAGATGAAAGATGGAATTTTAGCTTCACTACATTATTTTTAATCAGTTCGCAACAATGAGCTTTCAGGTGGGATGGGATATGGTAGTTTTAATGAACTTTTTCTTAATTGGACCATACTTGGTTTTTAATCTCTACATAATAGCTACATAACAACATAACTTCACAAGTTAATGGCAGTCATGTATTATTTCTGTATCTGTCACATCAGCCTTCTAAAATATGAAATTTTCTTCTTCTATTTTCTATATTACAAACCAGGACAACAGGTATGAAAGTTGTCAAGACTTTCTATTATAAACATGCCATTTTTAGCCCCGTGGCTGTTGTTACTCTGTGCTTCTCCATGTCCATGAACGTGTTCCATAATATCACTGCCATGACACCCTAATGAGTTAAGAAATGCCAGGCATTAACCAAACTTAACTGGCTAAACTGGCAAATGTAAGCTATCAGACTGAACGCAGCTTTTTATAAACTTTATTTTTAAAAAAACCCCACATGTTAAATATGGGGTTTAAGGGATTAAAACCCTTTGTTATAAACACATACGAAGATTAGAGTTCATTTCCATTTTAAATACTTACTAACAGGCATACCAAGTGGGGTAAACATGTAGGACAAGATCCCAGGGCTCGGGATTACAGGGATCTAACAGCAGTCAATCCAAAGCAATGACAGCATGCGACAGAGGCAGGAGGTCCACTTATAAATACCTTTGTTGTGAGCCATGATGAATCTCTAAGCGTTGTTGCTAATACACACAATGATCCTGTTTCATTTTTTTGTGATTTGTACTTTTTTATGGGCATTCATCTCACTGACAATGACTCAGTTCTGCAGTAATTTTATTTTTACTGTTTCAACATATGAATTTTTCTGTTCCAGAGCAAACAGCTTAAACCTCTAAATGAAAATAAGAACAACAAGAAGAATACAAATATTTAGAAGTTTTGAAACAGGAGTCTTCCTACTTGGCTAAAGTATTACAAACAAAATAATCCACAGAAAATTTAGAAGAAATATAACAAGGCTTTTTGTATATATATATATATATACACACATGTGTCTGTGTGTATATATATATATGTAATGTGTAACTTTCTAGAACGTCATCTTTGTATCTGTTTATTATCAACATAAACAACGTTGATAATAAACATAAAATTTGTCACCTTAATTTGTGATTTTTAATTATTGGAAACTATGTCTTTAGTTTTCACTTTTGTAACTGCCAAATTTTAAATTATATACCAGCTGTTATTTTGTTTATATATAATTTATTAGAAACAATAAATTATATATTCCTAAATACTCTTTCCATATATTCCAATTACACATCCCTAAATATTTCTATGCAAAATTAATTCGAATTCCCCATCACTGGAATATGAAGAGAATCTCACTTATTGCATGAATGCTTTGCAGTTTATGTTAGTATATTTTATATAGTTTCCTTCCTCTCTCCACTATTTTTTCCTTTAAGTATATTGTATTGAATGACTTAAAACCCCTTGAAGTCAATAGAACTGTTTTCATCCAGTAGGTCTACGGACTTCTATCTTCTATCTAAATGGTTTAAATAAAAAAAAAAAGGAAAAGTTTCTAAGCATAATATATATATGTGAAACATTAAAGCAGTTCGTAACTTCTTGGAAAAATGTTTAGAAGTCCACATATTCAGAAAGGTTATCAGGGCTGCAGCAGAAAGATTCCTATTGACTTACCATATGCTTGGACGAGATTTGGTGGCCTAAATCTGCAACACCAAAGCAACGCAGCTCTCTCCCATTGAACTGAAAACAAATGAAGCATTAATTCAGCAAGGTAGACAAACAGATGCTTTACTTTGAGCATATGAGTTGTTCCATTCACTTTGGTTGAACTTAAAAGTCATGCCCCCACTTACAAACATACATAGCAACTTCATGATATAAGTCTTAGCGAAATGTAAATCAAAATAACTTATATTTTGCAACTAGCATTAAAATGAGAATGCTATTCTATATCGTATAAGTGATTAAAGTAAAACTGGGGTCATATTTTGGTACCTTTTCATGTTACCAGTGCTGCTTTCACTGGAGCAAACTAACAGCATGAATAAACCCCCAAATTAATTAATAATCTGGCACCACTTCCTTCTAGCTCAAAATGGTAACTAAATAATTTAGATGGACTTGCACTACTGATGAGCTGTCTGTTTTAACCTCCCTGCACTAAGGAACACCCTTTGTCTCAAAGAGGCAGCATTATGTCTAATCCCCATGTTTTTTCTGGGGCCAGAGAGCCTTTGTGTGCAGCTGACACACAGATACATGTTTTCATGGCAAACTCTGAAGATATGTGCCAAATCATTCTGGCCAATTTATCCTGACAGTAAGTTTTATATGTTTACCCTCCCCCACCAGGAGACTTTCCAGTTCAGGGGTATTTTGCAGGAATTGATTTCAACTGGGTAGAAATATAAAGCACTGGAATCATTAATTGTTGTTGGTGAAGTAAAATAATGCCTTCAAGAACAAACTCCGAGGCATTTGCTAAACTCTAGGGAAGTTCCCAGTGTAACTTTGTGTTCTTAAAGGTAATAACTACTGCCTAAAATCTTGCTGTGCTGGAAATTAATTTGTAATCTACTGGCACATGCACTTTTATACGGTAAACCTTTAAAAAGTATTTTTAAAGATCTCTAGATCTCTACCAGGAACTATTACTATTGCAATAATATTAGAGATATGACTTTTATTACCTTTCCATTGACAAAACCCCTACCATTATAATAGTATTATACTTGTGAAAATTACTTTTGCTGGAATAGCTTATTATTTGGAAAACTGATTACAAATTATACTGGGGAAAAGTGGGTTTTGTTGGTAGTTAACAGTAGGAGAGTTTACTAGTATAATTTTACTAGGATGTATTTGTCTTTCATTATCTCAAGTAGCATACATTTTGGCAGTGAGCAAAAAGAGCAGAACAACTCAAATTTTGCTACATAATTTAATATAAATCACGGTTCATACAGAAAAATCAGTACCTTGTGTCTTCATTGTCTCATTCTTGTTTTTATTTTGTCCCCTGTGCAACATGTTTACTTGCCCCCTTTCCATTCCTTTTCCAGCAAGATTTCTGATCTTCTCCATTAAAATATCTCTCATTTATCAGCTCAACTATAGCAAACTTCCAGGCTATAGTTGAGTCCTGAGGAAGGTCATATAGTTGAGTCCTGAATAAGGCCACATATTGTAAGACTACATTTCAAAGTATGACCTGTTTTTACTAGTTTTAATATGTCAGAACAACCAAGACTGCATTAGACAATTTGAGAGCATGACTGAGCTCTAGCAGAGATGTCCTTATGACTGCTTAGGAGGTGCTGCATTGTTGCAGATCTTTTGGTTCACAGGAAGGGGACCAGGCTTGACAACAGAATCACAGAAACTAATTTTGCTGCTAATGTCTCATTTTCCATATTTCATTTATCCTAAAGTGCCAAAATTTCAAAGAAGTAAGACAGTTGGTGGTGGGTGGGGAAAATGAGACATAAAATAGTGATACTGCTAGAGCAATTCTAATAACAGAGATTGGAAACAGGTATG